TTCCTTCACAGTTTACGTTGCACTTTTCAAGACACTTTCACGTGAACACCTTCCTCTTCCTCGTTGCCGTTCGTTTTTCGAATTTGTCCGCAGACTTATTGGGACTGGATGGACTTTAGATTTCTTTGCTTGAAAAACCACGAATATTAATATCGATTTAAGACTAGAACTACCAAGGTGGTCAAAATGATTAATTCTTTATTTTTGTCACATATAGTTATGTAGATGTAAACTCGTGTATTTTTAGAGATTTAAATGATTTTTTTAATGCACTATTTATTACATAAATAGAAGCTTATGTATTCTATTGTGTAATAGTTTTCTTTCGCTTCGACATTTCTGATGAAAATTTTTATGCTTTAGTTATTGACAGTTTTAGTGTTAAACAGAGACATTTTCTTCTTTTTCTTTGTTTTTACTTTTCTTCACAAATGTGCCTATTTTTTTACGTGCAAAGTATTTTCATTTTTCTAGCAGGTTATAAAAATTAGAGTATAAAATAATAGTATTAGGTTAATACTATTATAGAATAATGGTATTAACCTAAGTATAGAATAATAGTATTTTGGACAAGGTTAGAAAGAGAAGAGAAATTCTTCTAATGTTATTCAAATAAAATCACATGATATTCATTTTAATGACTTTAATCTTAACTCTTACGATTCATAGACTCCAGACTTTAGTCTCAGTAAACTGCAGTATTAGCTGTATTAAACAGTAATATTAGGTTGGAAATATTAGTGTCTAGCAATATTAGGTGTATTAAACAGTAATATTAGGTTGGAAACAAGAGAAATACAAAAGAATTCTTAGAATGTTCTTCAAATAAAGTGACATGTTGCCCATTTTAGTGACTTTGATCTTAACTCTTACAATTTGTAAACTTCAGTCTTTAGCCCCCAGTATTAACCGCATTAGTATTAAGTATTTATAAACAAGAGATACACCACTTTAGTCTTTAGCCCCCAGTATTAACCGCATTAGTATAAAGTTTTAAATTATAAATACTGCATAGGTATAAAGTATTTATAAACAAGAGATACACCGTTCTTATAACGTTATTCAAATAAAATAATGTCCATCTTTGTGACTTTATTCCTACTAGTAGATTTTAGTCTCATATAGTAGACTACATAGTACCTAAGTGTTCTAGATGAAACTTACCAATGCCAATGAACAGATGACAAATTTGCCCAAAAAAGTCAGCGAATTAACTTCGTCCCCTTGTAAAACGGCATAAATCACTAAATGGATAAACCGGTTTAGGTTAGGTTTGCATTTGGCCGCTGATTGCGACATCGATCCAATTAAATACCTTTCCATGGAAGCTTCGAGCAAAACATTATATATTTTCGCTGGGAAAATGATCGCACATTTAATGGAACATAAACTATGACCCACTTCCCCGTGTATTCCCGAGTGAAATGTTGCGGAATTCTGCAACTAGGAAAAGTATAGAGGGAGAGTCGATAAGTATAGAGCCGTCGTTCCAGCGGAATATCGTGCTATACGTGAATTAATGGCTGTCAGTGGAAATACACATCCGGTATGCGTTAACCTTCCCCGAGTTAACCAAATCTATTCCGTCCTTCCTCCTCGCTAATGTATGATCGACATGACGGAAGCGAAAAAAAAAAAAAAAAGAAAAAATACATGAAACTGGGAAATCATTGAAAAACGATTGATGTAGCGTTGGTGAAGAGGATACGGGCGAATTCGTGGGTATGTCATTTGTATATTCGGCCTCGAGCGAGTAGTTCCGTAGAAAACAGGGAAGAGTTGCACGCATGGCGAGCACGGGACAATTACTGGATAGCTCGCGCCCAAGAGAGAGAGAGAGAGAGAGAGGAAGTAGAAAAAGAGACGATAGTATCGATGGAGGAAGATGGGGCACGAGCTCTCGCGAGCATTGCTAGAGATGGGTTTAAGTATCTCACAAGTTTGTTCGAACCTTCGATCGTTGAATTCTTTATAAATATATAATATTAAAAAAAATATACAGTATATTATATAAAATATCAATAAATATTTCGTACAAGATATAAATACGATTAAATTTATAATATTTAATTATATAAAATATTTTATATATTTCTTTTATTAAAAAAATATTAGATATTTTTCTTTATAACTTTATTTCCAAGTAATAACTTGAATCTAAGCGTTTTGAATGTTTCACGAGTCGATTGCGGATTTTAGTCGAATTTGTATTTTTTTTTTTTTTTTTTTTGTTCAGGAAATATCGAATATCGTCGTAGGACTTTATATTTTAGGAAATATCTTGGACTTTCATTGATAATGAAACTCGATTGCGAATGTAACGGTTAAATTTGAAACCGATTGTTATTGATTAAAAAACAAATATTTATTTAGTGACATAATCTTAGATCGTGAATGTTTGTGCAATTTCATATTCGCAGTCTAAATTACTAGTTTTGTACTAACAGTACAGGGCATGTTTGCAATAAGTTGCTTTTAATGTGCATTTTTAAATTTCCAATGAAATGGGATCTAAGTAAAAATTCGTTTCTATATGTTATTATAATGAATACTCATCTTTTCCAATGTTTCTAGAAATAAAAACAATACTTTCAACTAATATGAAACGCGTGAAAGATTTTCGATTGAACTAGCCTGTGTTTCTGTTTTTTTTATACGCGATTTTTGAATGTTGCCTGTTGAACGGGGCGCGCATGCGCGTGACGCGCGTGTATCTGATACGCGTGCGTCTGACGCTTGTAGGAAATCTGTATGATACAATGGATTTTCAAATATTTGGAAATCAGATATTACGTGATTTTGCATGTTGAAAATTTGTAAGAATTGTTTCTATGAGTCACAAGACGAACTTATTGTTAATATATTACAAATCATATAATATATTCCAATGTATTAGAAATCATACGTGTTGCTCCTCACAATTTCATAATATAATTTAATCCTCGTTTCTTCCTCACTTTTTTTACTTTAACTTACTCTCGGATTTACACAGTAATATTTACAAAAAAAAGATAAATAGTTAAATCTGCAAATTGTTTCATCAACAGGAAACAGATTTCTATTCAAATTTCTATTCGATTGCGTATAACCTATTGTCACTTACAGATGTTATTTTCGCTTACACATTTCGTAAAAAAAAAAAAAAAAAAAAAAAAGAAAAAGAAAAATGTGTTGAATTTCAGGATTAAAATTGAAAAAGTTCCGTATGAAATAGATATAAAACGCAAAATTGAATTGAAATTCGAAACGAAGAACGATTGATGGAACGATGGAAAAAATTAATAACGCGTCGCACGAGGAAACGTCGAACATTGCAGTGTTTATTTAAAGAGATTCCGCAGTCTCTATTTTCTCTACACAGAGGCTTCAAACCAGAAATATAATTCCTGAATACATAGTTTCCTATTTATTCATGAGAATAATCTCACTTTCAGTAGCTGGCCGAATAAATACTTATGAACGGGGCTGCACGTTGTATGTACGTGTTAGTTGTGTAGGTGTTAGTTACGTACGGCCGTGACGACAAAGGGTGAGAGAGAAAAAAATAGATTGGCGGAAAATATTTATGCCTGGCGTGCACATCGGCCTAGCGCTCGTTTGATTATCAGGTCATCCCCATAAGTGATACGAATTTCCCCACTGTATTTTTAGAAAACCCTGCTTTCTTTCGCCAGCTTGTAGGACACGGTTGAAGATGAGACGATCTCTTATTAATATCGGACATGTGCGAACTTGCGATCTTCCTCGAATAGATAGATCCTAGCCTGTGAATTGTAAAATTTTTTTTTAGTACTAATTACGTGTCAACGTAAGGAAAGAATATATTTCGAAAGATGGTACCTTCTTTACTTTGTCAAAAAATTTTCGCGAGTCACTTGGCTGTTACATTTTTATTTGATGTTTCTTAACATTAATTAAATGTTGATGCAAAGAAAGAATGTATATTTTTAACAGTACGTATTCTTTTTGTACTTCATTGAATATGACTTTCTCAAAAATGAAGAGGAGCAACTCTGTCGAAAACGAAAATTGTATAGAATAACATAATTTGCTCGAAGAGCATCAAGTACAACAAATGTGTGTCACTGTGTAATTTTTATTTGTTAATCGCATTAGAGAACGATCTGTTTCTAAATATAGTTCTTGCGATAGTCCATCATACTCTCTTGATTCGACAATCACATGTTTCCATCAGACACTTTCACAAGAAGAAAACCCGTAGAACCTAACCTAAAAATCTAGTTAGTAGATAGAAAGAAAATGATGGAAAGTACAGAACACATTAATATTTATCTGGAACAAACGAAAGTCAGAAATTTTGGTGAAGGAAACAACAGGCCGAATGGACAGCCAAAGTACTATATAACAAAACGAGATTCAGCATGTTGCAATATTGTTTCAATGCTTGCTGAACACTGAGAAGAAAATCGCAAGGCAAGTAGTTTAACTCACTCACACTGGTGCTAGTGTCGCGTGATTGGAACAACGTCATCGTTAACCAGCTTTGAGTTAACAGATTTGATAATGAAGTTAGGGGTGTCCCCAACAATCGAACGATTTACGATCGCAGCGCGACAAAGTACGTAGCTAACAGGATCAAAGGGGCCTCCGTTGAACCAAGTCTTCCGATAAATTGCGATCGCGTCCTTCCAGGCACTCGGCACGTACCAGCCGTGGGTCAATTTAGGGCACGCGTTTTCCGGTGCTAATGGTCCCGATCTTATCGGCCGCGTGAATCGAATTTGTGCACCCGGCAGCTGAGTGGAAAGTGCCCCCCCCCTCCGTCGTTAATCGAATTTTACTTTCACGCCCGCGTTCCACGGGGGCCGAACGATTCCAGGAATTTCGCGCGGAAAAGCCCGCGGAGTCGAGTATAATATAAGCGCCCCGGCTTAATAAAACCTCGCGTGCTCCTCGTTCTACATTCGAGCGGGGAATTTCTAGTGAAACGCATTCCTAGGGAATTCTTCTCTATCCTTCTCCTACGCCCTATTTTCTACGCTAGGCTCAGAGCCACTCGAAAGAACAGAGTCGGACAATACGTGAGATATAACACGTTATATGAGGGATCTAAGGGCGCAAAAAATTATAACTAAATAAATAGTCTTTGTTTAATACGACAACAAAATATTTTGTGCCTTCTGTCTTGTTAAGCAAGTATTCAAAAGAATGTTCTTTCTATTGAAATCTTCTATCCGTGTAATTCAAACAATTTTTTTTTTTTTTGTTAATAAAAGATCTTTTGTTGAAAATCGGGAGGATTTCTCTGAACTTGACGATGCTTTTTCAGCAACTTTTTCCTTGTAATTACTTCTGTAATCAATTATTAATGAGGGTACCCATAAATCGTTTATTGATACTAAATTATATAAAATAAATATAAATAATTATATAAATTAAATATTGAGTTCTAAAAGTTTTATTTTATTTAAATTATTTTTCTTCGAACTATTGCCGCTATGAGATGGCAATGTTTATTAAATTAAAAAAAAAGGAAACGACATTACTCGTGAGGTGCTCCTGATAAATACAATCATAGTAATCGTAATCAATCGGTAATATGGATTGACTTTTCTAGTTTTTTTTTTTTTTTT